AATTATATCTTACATTTCAAAATTACTTCGAAATTCTCTTTTATTTCGTTCTATAGCTTTAGACAACGTTATTGGATGCACGCATTTTTTGTCGACTACTTTCCTTTATTTATCTGCAACATCTTTAAGGCCTTTACACGTATTCAGCAAATATGCAAAGCAAATTCAGCTACCAAATTCAAGGGTGAAAATCAAATGCTACTGTATGCGTGCTTAAGAATTTTAGTATGTTTCTAAAAATTACAGGCCCAAAGGCATGTTGGATTAAATGATGTCAATATGATAATAAAGTATTATTTTTCATTTCTTTATTCTCTAAAGAATCATATCTCGTTTGCGTCGTGATCTTCTCCACTTTTTTTTGGACTTTTTTTCGCAAAGTCCTTCTGCTACGTTGCAAGTGTACGATTTTGGACATTGAGTACAGGGGTCGCCCATGGTGTAGATTCGGCTACCAAGCCAATTACCACTAAACATTTTGACTATCAATGGCTTTCTTATTCGTCTGTACCGCTTACGCTGGTCCGTAGTGACAGACGCCATACGTAAATTTAGGACAGGCCACAACAGCGCAGCCAAGCTTGTAACTAGTACCCCAAGCCATCTAAATTTACCTGATTCATTTGATGAACTTTCACAGTACAAACTGCTATCTTACCTGAGAGTAATGACCAATTTTCTTTCCGGGTCTTTTGAATAATGCTGAAGTAAGCACGTTGGAGGGGCCAACACCATAATCTTGCAATTCTTTCCACCAAAGCCAAGAGGACTAAAACAAATTTCTAATTGTACTGTAGAGAACGTTTGTAGCTTTGAAGCAACCTGGTTAGCAGCTTTGAGTTTGTTATAGTTGATAGCTGAAGTCATGTAAAGATTCTCTCCAAGTCCTCGCCGCTCAGAGCGTTTAGAATGTGCGTAAACACATTTTCTTGCATATCTCAATGCCGAAGCCTCCACTGAGCAGTCATAGACCTGCAATTCAACGCATTTTTCTGGTTAAAGGACAAAAGTGTTTGCATAAACTTATCATTTTTAGCATTCTAGAGGCCTTAGGGGCATATCCTCCCAGCCCGTCACGCTCCAGGCCTCGAGCAAGGCTCGATCTATAACACAATGCTTTGTCGCTTCATATTTATTGTTACTGCAAATTTCCATATTATAGAATCACATCCCACCATTTACCCCAAGATGGATAGGCATCTACCTGTATTGGTTATGAAGATTCAAGAATTTTCTTCTTACTTTATCTGTCATTCCTCTGTTCTTCGGGCACATCCAGTTGGTGTCTGGAATGAGGGTTCCAAAAAAAACAGGAAAAAAGGTCTGTGAGAAGTTCAGATTCGCTCAT